CAGGGGCGGATCTAGGGGTGATCAGAGCGATCACGCGACTAAGGTAAAAATTGGCCAGAAAAATGGAAAATTGTTAAATTAAAATAGCAGTCCAGTTATCAAACTTCGCGCAGTGTAATGTATTGAAAGTTTAACTGTCCAGTTTTGAAATATCATTCAGTATCAAGGCCTTCAAACATGAACGCGCAGAAAAGCGGTCTTACGCATGAGTTTTGCACGCTCTGAGTCAGATTCCAGTCATCTGATTGGCTATCTCGATTTTTGCGCGATCTGTGGGGAGTTCTGATCGTTAAAGCGATCAGGGGCTCGAATACAGGCTATCCGATTGGCTAATTCAAAACAATCCTGAATTCCCATTGGCTGGATTTTTTTGATCGATCATACCGTTCAGGCTCATTAGTGCACGGAAAGGTCTATGACGTTTCTGGCCCTTTCTGATCGCTACTTTGCCTTGACCGCAAATTATTAAAGTTCAATGCGAAGATTTACTATCAGAAATTCTGAACTAATACCAGCCATGTCTGTTAGTATTTACGAAACTGTAAAGGCTGCTTTAGAGAATACGATCGACAAAATGTCAAAGATATTGAAGCTGATTTAAACAAGCGATAATGGTGTACCGAAGTTTTTTATTCAAAGATTTATTGAGCGTTGTGAATAACATTACTTAAGCAGCCTTCCTCGCACGAAATTTTGGTGCGGAATCTTACATCCTGAAGTACGTTCGAGAGAAGACAAAAATCTTCTGTACGGCCTTAACTTAAGATATATATTTTCTATTTTAACTAGATACAGCATTGTAACTGTTGTATACTGTGGTGGATTGTGCGTCTGTACGCACATGCATGCTATGATATTGACGCGTATAAGACGTATCATAATACGAGACGAAATTTTCATAATATTTCCGTCAATTTATATAAATACTGCAGCTTAATACAGGCAGTTTCAGTGTGTTTATACTTTGTTTATGCTTCTTGTGACATGTAGACTTTATATATTAATCAGATCGCTACTTAATAACACTGTTTATACCTATTAAATATTTTAAACTACAAGAACACGACAATGTAGCATGACATTGTGTAATACGATCTCTACAAAATGCACACAAGTAAAATGGATCATGTTGCCATTGTGAATACTTATTTATGGCGTATGTTTCTGCTACGAATGAAACTCGAGGAGCAGTGAATTAAACGTGGAAATTCTCTTCCTGCTTAACAATCAATCAAATGTTTTAAACTGCATCACCATATTGCATTTTTTTGACCATCCATATCAAAGGAAAAAATATGCGATTAAATAACAATTTTTAAAACGTCAAGCCATCCTTGTCAATCTATTTCTCGATGAGAATTGGATATCTGTTTGACATTTGGCGAAAAAGCAATTTTTTAAGTTACATTTTTTCGAAAACAGAACACATATAAAAAATATTAATTTGCTTGGCAAACCCCCCCCTCCGACCCCCCGTCAAAAGTACCCCCTCCGCCTGTCAAAAGTACCCCCCTCCCCCAATGTTCAGCAACAAAATTTTTGACTAACGTACGAAAAATCCTAGATCCGCCCCTGTACCGGGAAAAAACCTCGAAGCACAGGAGAGAATTTCCTGTGTAAGTTAAATATATAAAACTCCCAGCATTTTATCACAGAATAGGAAGTTATAACTTCCTATTCTGTGATTTTATGTAGTTTTCAGAGAACGGTGAGCTGTGTCGAAAACAGGTGTACTTATATACTGTAGGCACAAACCGTGGTTACAAGCTGGGTACATGTATGCCGGAAACAGGCGATCTTTATAGCCACAAACCCTGGCTACAAGGTATCCCAAAAAACAGACGTACTTTAGCCACAAACCGTGGCTCTAAGAAGGTGTGCTGAAAACAGACGTACTACCGTGGTATACAGGTATACCGAAAACAGGATCCTCTGTAAATATTCAGAAATAATGTGAAGGAATGTATATGGGGGTGTAAAGAGAGAATAGGTAAGTAAAAATCACAAGTCCTTTGCTATAGCTAATTTGAGACCCGAATTTAAGCTAGGTATCACATCGAGTCAATACAATGTAACTCGTATAACTGCCAGGGCTATTGCCATGGACCGATTGAATACGCCATTTCGTGTTAATGCTTATTTCCATATTTATATTGATCAAAATCCAAAATTTTTTTATGAAAGTGTTGAAGAAGGATGTTCTGCTTCTCTGTGCATAGCTCATGAGAAAAAACCTTGAAATCCTTTCCATTTAAGGTGGTCCTAAGTTGAAAACAGTGTAGTTGCGACTTAATTACCGGAAATGTCTATTACCTTAAAACATTATACGTATCGACTAAGGCCAAAAACGAAGTGGGGAATGCCGTGGCATAAGCGCTTAAACCGACACGCTCTCCGACATTTGTTTCAGATTCGACGACCTTTAACACAGGTGCTAATTTCTTCAGCCATTTCACAGTCTCAGGGTAGAAATCTCTGGGCGGTTTTGAGCGGTCTGATGGTTGTAACTTTCCAATACGGTTTTTTTCTTCGGCGTTGAAAGAAGAGACGAACGAGTGAGCGTGGGTGCCTTTGATAGGGACGCCATACAACATGCCTGCCATCACATTGCTTGTGCCATCAAAACCTCAAAGATAAAATATTAAACCGTTACCAGTGTACTTTAATTTGTCTTAAAAATTCATGAGCAAAATACAAAAGAAAACACTGTCGTGTGGGTGGTTTTATATGTGGTAAAATATCATGTTCATTTACATAAACTTTAGCTTTGATTTTCTTAACCTAGACAACGCTGATTTTTAAAATTACTTTGCCAATGAACTCATAAGATGGGTTGTTTTTTAAGCCATTGAAAACATTCACAGTCGAGCTGCGCTCGTGTTTTAAATAGTAGCTACATAGAAACCAACATCGTTAATAAGATCGTTTGCATTTCCCGCCATTGTCGCCAGTTCGACCAAGGTCACGTGAAGAAACTATGGGTTTTCATTGGCTAGTTAATTCAAGCAGCTCAGCAATAAGCTCGCAACATCCGCAGACGTCGAGATTTTTTCCTCGCGAGGTGAAAAATAGAAAATACGATAGATATTTTCCTCAAGGCCTCGAGAGGTTATAAATCTTCAAGAAAACTATCCGCACACGAGATAAACATGCTGAGCTAGCTGCCACGCGAGGCGTTAGCTGAGCAAGTTTCTAGCTCTCGGCAGGCTTAAAGGCCCAGACACACCGGACGCGATTCGATATAACGCGACGCGATTTTTCGATTTTCACTGACGGATAACTTTGATTCTAGTTTAAATTTTCCAAATATTTAGAAGCGGTATAACATTTTGAGTTATTTGCTCTACATATTAACTTTCAAAAACTAAAAAATCGAATCGCGTGCGGTGTGTCCGGACCTTAACAGTTTAACCAAACTATCTGGCAATATCTTGTGTTTCAGAAGTGTTGAGGAGTTGACCAAAATGTGTGTTCATGCCTATTGTATGCAGATTCTACACGAATGGGGAGAGGGCAGTTCTACAGGAAGTTAGAGAGAGGTTTTCCAGGAGAGTGAAGGGCAGACTTCTCGAGGGGAGGGAAAACTTTCCAGGGAAGGGGAGATTTCCTGCAGAGGGAGAAGTCATTTCTCATGGGAGGGGAGATTTTCCAGAGAGGAGTAAACAGGTAGTTTCAATGCAGGACAGAGTTTCTAGGGGAGGAAGAGAAATTTTGCAGGAGAAGGGGGGGGGGGGGGAAGGCAAGAATAGATATTCAGCATTTGCAGGTGTGAGATATCCATTTCAGGAGGTTGCACTGAGAAGTCAAGACTTCGTGCAGGGGAAATCCACCCCTTGCAGTCCCAGGAGGAACCCTCCCCCATCTACTAAATTTGAGATTATAAGTCAAAAAGTAATGTACTAAGTTTACCTCCCATATAAGAATATTTGGAAGCTGAGAGTCCTCCATTTGGTCCTTGTGCTCTACGTAAACCAAATTCCAACAAGGTTTTCCCTGGTCCAGCTGCAAGTCGAAACCGAGCTGCGTTCGTCGCAACCAGGCTAAGATCGGACAAATAATAAACATAAAATACATGTTGATACGTATACGAACAAACAAAACTAATTTTACTGGACAGTTCATTTCTTGTTCCACTAGAGGCATTTTCAGATAGATGGATTTTCAGATTTTGATTAAATTTTCTTTTTGGGGGGTGGGGTGCAAATTTCTCTAGGTGGGGTGGGAAAACTTTTTTGGGGGGGGTGCAAAATATTTTTTTGACACTGGAATATGCCTGATAAAAACCTGCACTGGTGCTTGGTAAACAAATTGCAAACACATATGTGCTAAAAATGAAACAAAAAGAAATATACCTTGCATAATTCACTAATGTCAATAAAGTTGTCTCCATCATTTGTGTGACTAAAAAGTGTAAAATTATAGATTTTTAAGAGTGCATATATGCACTTTCACAATTCAAATGTAGATTAAGAGCAAAGTTTTTATAATTAGCGAAAGAAATTGAAAATTATTGCAACCTGCAAGTGGTCCAGAGATAACCAATAGTGGCTCTTTAGGAAAGACAACCGAACCTTCCTTAATGGCCATTACTGTAACTTTGGATGTGTTTAGTTGTTTGAAGAATGTGTAGAACTCTTCCTCTGTCGTGTCGGGGAAGACGGTTCTAAGATACGCAACATCTGGAAATGTGAAGATGAGAATATTATTACGTCTTTATTATCAGAAAGTCACAACAGACATGCAACTTTACAAATTCCAAATTGTTTACAGTTAAAATGTAGCTACTTGTCCATTATCTATTCTAATCTATAACTAGAAATGTATATTAGTTAAAAATAGGTAATGTGTTCAATTTGACAACCTACAGCACCAGCAGACATTGCACTGGGTCAGGTCCCCAGAAAACCATCCATACCTTCCCCAAAGAAGAAATTGGAAGCTAACCCCCCTATCCCCTTTGGACGTCCTAATGCACTTACACTATTATTACGTCTTTATTATCAGAAACAAATTTCTCTTCCCTCCACAGAAGAAATTTCCTCCGTCGGGAGGAGTGTGAATCTTTTCCGAAATGACCCATATTGAAGACAACTACCCTCGCACAATTTTTCCAATTTCCCAAAGTGATTTACACCGCGCATTGGATGCTGTTTAATTAAACTCTTACTTTATTATTTTACTCCGTCTAATGCGGTTAGCACTATTTTCCATCCAGCAAACTGACCTGACGTCATTTTCGCAAGATAGAAGAGGTGTTAAATGGCTATGTAACTAATCCAAACCCTACCCCTACTCTAACCCCTAACCCAAACCTCAACCCTAAATCTAACCGAATTAATAAAAAAATCCAAAACGAAACGACTTTACAAAATCGATAGGGCGGTTTGCTGCATGGAAAAAAGTGCTAACCGTCTAACGCCAGACAATTTTACTAGCCAAGGGCAGAGCTCTGGTGTTTAATGGGTTAAAGAATGGGGCATATTTATTATGTGCCCCAGAAATGAAAATGTGAAATGCAAAACAAGTTAAATTTTTATTACATCTTACTACAAGCCATTTCTTTGTTTTATCCTTTAAACCTCTTAACAACATGTGCCTGGTACAAAGTCAACCAACTTGGAAAACCTTCCATCTGCAAGCTCAAATCTTCATCGATGCAAATAGATATTTGCAATTTTGCAAGTGATGAAGATTTGGGCTTTTCCAAATTTAAAATGTTAAAATGAACGTGCTCCCAACATTTTATAAATTACTACATTAAATATGCAAACAAAACATAATGTACCCTGGTCAGTGATTTTAAAATTCTCTATGTAATTCAAACACTCTTGCAGCCCAGCAAAAATGGTAAATTCCCCATGAAATGGATTCTTTCTAAAGTACAAATCGAAAGCCGCATGATCATTTTGCTTGCCAGCTTTCCAATAGCCATAAACCATTGTGATCTGATATAAATCCGTAAGCATAGGACTGCAGGGGCCATACGAGCAGAAATTTCGAGAACTAGACATATTTTCCGTGTGTTTTCAGTACTAAAATCAGTAAAATGTGTAGCTTTCTTTCGCGATTTCCAAAGAATTGTGGTGTCGATTCCTGGACATTTAAAATCGAAACGAAAAGTAGTGAAATTTACAATTTCATTGTTCGCGCGTTACCCCGCCATGGTGAAGTTCCGGTGGGGAAAAGTAATGCCGGAGAATCTGATCCCCTCGGGAAAAGTGATCGTGAGATTTGCGTTCGTTATTGTTCGTGCGCGTGATTTGCGCTTTTCGTGTTTATGCTTGCGTTCTCTGTGCGTGCGCTAGCTGACCCAACTGCGCATTGGGTTAGGATTACAGTTTAATATACCTTTCTGTAAAGTAGGTCACTTTGGCTAAAGAGCCTCATTTTCATGTAATTGGGACATTAGTTAAAACCCAACACCACACCCCAATCTTGAAAACGAGGTTCTAATTGACATGCTATCCAGAAATATCACAAACATGTATTATTTTGTTTAATTAACAACAAAAACATTGTCAAAAAGTTCATGGAAAATACCATAACATTTTACAAAATTACCATTTCAAAATCTGGTACTTATTGTATGTGCACCAACCATGCTTACATTGGAGCATGGTTAATAGAACTAGATTGGAGTCACCAGCTTGTAGTGCAAACACAGTTTAATTATAGGGTTCTACCATTCTTGCAAAATGCAAAGCCTGATGAGATCATGTTACCTATAGTTTCTTTTTCTGAAAGCAGGATCTCACTAATTTGTTTATATACTAAGGTTCATTACTTACAGGTGACAAAAATGTAAACAAAGCTCAGACACAAGCTATTACAGACCCAATCTCGTTTCCCGAGCCTGCGATCCTTGGGAAGGAACGCGAGGCTCTGGGATAATCTGTTGCCAGAAGCCAGGAATCCTGGCTAAGATTGAACTGCGCATCCATTTCAACGGCCAATTTCGGCCAATCAGATTCCTCCCTGAAACAGATTATCCCAGAGCCTCGCGTTCCTTCCCGAGGATCACAGGCTTGGGGAGCAAGAGTGTTACAGACCAGTAGACAGTACCACACTTTATTTACTTAATTATGAGCTGTGCATTAAAACAACAGTTCATACCAATTATTTACATTGAAAGGTTCTAAGGTTCTAAGCCTACTGTATATCGATAATTTTCAGTTAACCAACTATTCATCAATCCTCCATTTCATTTCTTGACCACAGAGGCCCAAACTGACTGAAGGAAAAGACAACATTTGCATAACAAATGGCCAGATGGAAATAGAAAAAGACGCACAGAGGCATGGAGAAGTGGCTAAGCGCAAACCAAGTGTACTTGCCAAAGAATTTCTCGGCAATGCTAGGGTCGTCAGAAGTGCGGCGAAGCTCATAGGTTTTTGCAGCCCAGTAAGCAATGCTAATGACGAGCGCAAAGGAGGCATATTGACGAATAAACATAGCTGCTTTTTTAACCTTTTCACCAGCAACTTTGGGGAGTTTATACTGGTATGCTTTTTTGATAAAGAAAAACTGGAGAGAGATTGAAAACAACTCACACAAGTAACAAATAGCATACCAAATGATCTCAACTATTGGGAAATTCCGCCATTCGCAAATGGCAGCAAAACCAGAAGCCAGATCAAAGGCGGGGAAACCAAGAAATGCAGAGATGCCCAACAAAATTATTTCCAGTTTCATTGGTCTTTTCTTTTTAACGAAACCCGACTTCTCGCTAACCAACTGAATACACTTCCAACAAAGGGGCATTAATGCAAAAAAAAAGCATGCCTTGAGAACATATAAAGTCACTTTAGGAGCAGCAACTTTCAACGTAGTTTGTTCCCTCATATAAGCAACAAAAACAACAGGAATTGCAAGAAGACCAATTATGAACCCAACGCGCCAAAGGGTCCACCGCTGGTTTCTGGATTTCGGTATTTTGGGAATGGGTTTCTTAATCACCATCCAAATATGTAGCAAGAGACCCGAAGCTAACAGGGCATACTCCATTGAAAATGTGCTAATGTACGGTGAAAAGCTAGCAACAAGAGCATGCAACTCACGAGCACCCGGGCTCGTTAAGCTCTCGTTTGCACAAAGGTCGTGCTTTTCAACTCCGTAATAGTAATGGTTTAACCAAGAGATATGTCGAAGTTTTGGATTAGAAGTCGCATCGTTGAAGAAAACCGAGGCCCATATGCATAAGTTTGTTGCCAAGGTAATCATCACGAAGAACACACCACCGGGAAGACCAGAATGACGAATCCCGTCACGAGAGAGCTTATAGAAAAAATACATTTGAAAATACACAAAGGTAATCTTGAATAAAGGATAAACAGCATATACATAGCTAAGACCATTAACTTGTGCACTACACTTTATAAAATCCAAAAAAAGTAAAATATGTGATGTAGCGGTGAAAGTTCCAAAGATACCAACGCCTGTTAGCAAATGACTTGGGATAAGGGTGCCATCAAGCTGGCTCGAGTAACGTAGTTTCTGTGGGATAACGGCAATACATGTCCATGCAACAAATATAGATATTAAAAGCATCAAGTAAACCAATACGTGCTGAGGTTTAACTTGCATCCCTTTGCGATCCGTTTTGAGGTTTGCCGCAAAAACCAACACTACGTCAATAACTATAATCAGCAACAGCGACATTATGCTATTGGTCGGTTGTGACAATGTTTTTTTAATTTTCTCAGCAAATCCGGAATTAGTCTGTATTTCTATTGGTGGAGTGCGTCTCAAGGGGATTGAGCCATACCGAACTCTGGGTACACCGCTGTCGCTGTTATCTCGGCTAAGTGTATCTTCAGTTAGGTCGGTCGATCGTCTTGGTCTGATCAAAGGTGATCGCTCGCTGCTGGTTTGTCTTTGTTTTACTTGGTTGGTACTAGGAGTATCATTTATATCATCGGATATCGAACATGGGTTTTCTTGACCTTGATCCGACGCTACAGCAATTAATTTTCTCCCTGTAGGCTCATCACTTGTGTAAGCTTGATCCATTGTTGTGCTTTTCTGATTAATGGTTGTTTTCCTACAAGAGAATTAAACATTGGTCAATATAATTATTTTGTTTTGTGAAAAACAGCGCGTTTTAAATTCAATTCGATGCGGAAGCCTAGTGCGATTTCATGCAGTATTAAACCTTTACAGGTGTAAATAAATGTAATTTTCGTTACCTTATAAAATGAATAAATCCGTTATTTATCAAGCAACGCTTCAATAGCAAAGCATCTAGCAATTTGAGTCGACTTTGCAAGTAAATGCGTACTTCTCGATTCGGAGAAAAGCAAAGTACTTCTTGATCAATGATGGAAATTCATATTTCGAAACCAAGAAACGAAAGCGGAAAATGTTACAAGACCGGAAGCTAAACTGTAACAGGAAGTTTAATTTCTTAGAACGAATCTAATGTTTATGTTTAGATCCAGATGGGGGGTTGTGTACACCCACCCACCCCAATTTTAAAATTTCATTAATGTTTTCAACATTTCCTGTGAGAGGGAACTAGAGTACCCTGGCAGCAACTCAAAGAAAACCCCTGATATTCGGCAGAGGTTTTAGTGACTTTTTACTTGAATGCCTTGCACCTGAAATGAGAATCAAACTTATGATCGTACCAGAGACAAATGTGCTTTCTCTGACAACTGCAGTCCTTAATGATTATAAATGGTAACGAGACCCTAACTAATGTGCCTGAAATCTAAGTTAAAAAAATTTGGCAAAATCTATGCTAATCACCGCAGTCACAAATATATCATATATTATTAAAAATTACTACATAATTTCCAATTTTTAATTAATATTTAGATAATTAATAGCAGCCGAGCATCAGGAGGCAAAATACAGTATTTATCTAAGTACTTGCTTATTTGAACTTTGTAACAGTTTTAGTAATTTGTAAATAATTATATATATATTTAGTATACTCTTGTGAATATTTTATAATAAATGCTCTGAAGATGTAATTGTGATATATAGGAAACACGATACATTTGCATACGACTAAATCAGACAATATAATTACAATAAACAGCACCACTAAATTAAGGAAATACAAGGAATGATAAAAATTATATTTTGTAAAAAAATGTATGATTAAGCAAATGTTTGCATATATGGGTGTGGACTGGCTTTGATGCCAACTTTTTCTGGAGGGGGGGGGGGAATTATTCTATGGTTTGAGGGCACCCCTTCCCCAATTACTCATACAGCAGCATGCACAATTATGGACAGCAAAGCAAAATATCATAGCATGTTTGACATAAGAAAAGCAAATTAATATACTCTAAAATATCCTAAAAAAATGTTTAGTTTGAAATGTAACTACAGCTCGCCATGCGCATCTCTAACACAGTCTGTGGTAACTTCTTTACATAGAAATGTCTTCAACTCTCCCTTCTTGCGGAATTCTTTGTAAATATCGTCCTCACCAACGTCTCCAGCAAGTGTCGAACATTTTTCCTTTAATCTGACAAAAGACAAATTGACATTAGAGGAAATTTACTGGACTATTGCCATAAAAAATATTAAAGATGTGCTGTTTCGCTGCCAGTTAATTAGTGACCGAGAATGACAGCAAACCAAAGCAAAGATTTAATGACCAAGAATGGGTATGGACACAGAAATCATGATATATTTGCATGCAAATACAAGCCACTAAACTGGGTTTGCTACTTTGCAAACTGGCTATGCACATTGATAAATTGTGGATCATCTAATAATTCTAAATCTTATTAACTAAACTATATATGTATTTATTTCCAGAGGTCCAGTAAGAGCCATCATGCTTTAAAATCCCCAAAGTACAATTACCTATTTGGCCATTTTCCACCCCCTTGCATCATCCCTGCAACATCTTTCGCTTCCAAACCTTCACCACTCAGACGATTGATTCCATTCACTGTTTTTATGCCATAACTAAACAGATAAGCAAATAATTAATTAGCTTGTTAGGGGATTAATTAGCTCGTTAGGGGATTAATTAGTAGCTAATTAATGAACATTGTTGCAAACTCATTAGTAGCTAATTAACAAACATTGTTGCAAACTCATTAGTAGCTAGTTAACAAACATTGTTGCAAACTCATTAGTAGCTAATTAACAAACATTGTTGCAAACTCATTAGTAGCTAATTAACAAACATTGTTGCAAACTTGTTATTCAACTTACTTTTCCCAAGCTTTATTACAGACATCTTCAATAATGTCGAGGTACTCTGATTCAGATAAACCTTTCTTTTTTAATGATGGTCGTTTATCTTCAGCACGCTTAAGATGTGATGTCAGCTAAGAAGTTGAAACATTGATACAACTTAAACCAATATACCCTACTCATGATAGCACTTTTCACTGTTTACAAGTAAAAGGGGGGGGGGTGAATAAGTTTTTGGATCGTCGGATTTCACAGAAAAAATTGTCCGGATTTCGGATCTGGCGAATGTTTTACATGGATTTCGGATCTTATTAATACAGCAGATTGCGGATTTATCTAATATTTTGGCTCGGATTGTGGATTTTGCTTCAAATCGGCGGATTTGTATACCCCCCCCCCCCCCAGTAAATTCATCTGTGTAAATTTGTCTGGATTAGACATAGTAAAATACAAAATAACAAACCATGCAACTAAGATATCGGGAGGCAGTTTGGATGTTTCTTATATGTTTACTGCTAAATTTTAAATTAAGGTTGAGTGCACATCTTCCAAACATTCCAATCAGTGTGCATCAGGACATATCGCTACTTAATGCAGTTAATACTTTATAATAATGTTCACATCTATATGTTAACACTTATTTTACTTTGCAATACATAAAAGCAATAGCATCCTGCTCACCTGAAAGGCTACAGCCGTGCAAGCATCACATTGCATTTCAAACGAGCCAGGAATATGCATCGAATGCTCTTCTTCCTCGTTCATTTTTGGCGTTTCAAACCTCATCGGCTGGCCTTGCTGGGCAAAGCAACAGCTTGCACACAGAACCAAAACTATAAAGGCGAACCTCAGAGGCGACATTCTCGATATATTTTGGGCGAGAAGCTAGCTTTGTTTTGCCCGAATTGTTTAAAGACGCCTTAAAAGCTTCGTTTAGATGCAAAGCACCTGTTTAAGCATTAAAAATTAACATTTATGAACAATAATAAATGTAAATTAATATTTTAAAATCAGAAACAATGCAAACACCTGAACTCGGAGAATTCCGAAAATCTACGGCAATTTCCGACGCGCGTATTTTTTCAAACATTTGTTTCAACAACGCAGAATCGAATATGAATAAAAGTAATAAACGCTTATGTTAATATTTAATATCATAATTGTCCTGCTCCCCTGCGAGTTTGTCGGTGGGAACAATATTATCATTGACAGCCTCGTTATCAAGTGCATAACTACTTTCACATTCACGGAAATACCGCGAGATGAGAGTTAACCGTGAGAGTTGGCAGCTCTGAAAATACATTTTTATACACTTTCTCCGAGACTGTTTTCTCCGCACAGTTTACAATATTGTTGCTCCTCTCTGCTACAGTTTCGTATATTGCGTCTGAATGCTTGAGTTACATCTGTGCTTGTATGTTCGCAGAATTCATTGATTCACATGCGAGTGTCATGAATATCACCATGAAATCCGTCATTCTGAACTCGATCCTCAATCACCTCAGCATACTCACTGTTTCCATCAGTTTCTTGCACGTTTCCAAACGTGTCTATATTATAAAATAATAATGTATTTACTTATTCATTCTAAATTCAAAAATTGTCAGTCTACCGTGGTTTGCGTCTGAACTGTCTGAAAACTAGATATCTCAAAAATGGGGGTTGATTGTGAGGTAGAATACTTCAATAAGCTTTTGTGGTTTGTGTCTGAACTACCTGAAAAAGGTATCTCAAACATGGTGGTCCAGTGTAGGTAGTATCCTACAATAAGCTGTCGTAGTTTGTGTTTGAACTACCTGAAAAATATCTCTGATATCCCAGACGTGGTGGTCCAGTGTAGGCAGTATTCTGCAATAAGCTGCCGTGGTTTGTGTCTGAACTACCTGAAATAGATATGTTAATCATGGTGGTCCAGTATGGGTAGTATTCTACAATAAGCTGTCGCGGTGGTTTGTGTTCGAACCACTTGAAAAAGATATCTCAAACAAGGGGTCTATTGTAAATAATACACTTCAATAAGCTGGCGTCGAGATGAGGCCCTTCGTTTTGGAGTACGCTTTTATAGTACACTAGGAAGGGCCTTGGCTCGAAATGTCGAATGGTTCGGTTTCATTTCATCAGTTTTCAAAACGAAGGCAGTTCACTGAGTTAAATACGACCTCTGTATTGGACGTCTTCATATATTTCACTGCCAGCCTCTGCATTTATTTGGACGTCTTCATATACTTCACTCCCCGCCTCTGCATCAGACGTTTTCTCTGGAATGGGAAATTGCTGCGCAATCATGACGTCATCGTCGACGTAAGCGTCGTTTAACATTTGATGTCGGTGAAGAACGGAAGGTTTCATGGGTCGTTTGGTTGTGCTTGTTGTCGTGGATCGCGTGTTTGCTTTTGAATTTGTCGTGCTCACTAAAGATAAAGATAAATGAGTTAGACTACTATACTACATTCAGCTTCCTTCCACAGGATCAACTGTTAGTAGGTATAATCTTTAGCTTGAACTAGGTACCCCCCCCCCTCATACCTTCGTTGGGTCTCTTCTGACTCTTCATGGTCGCTGAGGAGGAATGCGTTGATCTCTTCGCAGACGCTGACCCTCGTACTAGGGGCGTTGAAAACGTATACAACAAAGGATTAATACTACTATTTATCGGCAATACAAAAACCGCAATCCAGGCGTACACCTGTTTTCGCGGGTCGTGCAGGCTGTTGGCCAAAGCCAGTATACTTATAATGATCACTGGAAACCAACAGAAGAAATCGGTCAAGATTATGAACAACATTCGTTTGGCTAAAGTGGAGTCTTGGTTGGCCCGTGTGGATCTGACTGCGTTGCCAGCTTTGGTTATTGTTCTGTACATCACTAGATAGGCAATGACAATAAGAATAAACGAAGTGCCATTAACACCCAGAAACACAAACGCAGAATACTCCCAGCCTGGTGATTTTTCGCTGGACAACTCGAACGGCAAACAGACTGGGGACCGTCCGTAGAAGTGAGTCCTATGTTGATAATCGTAAAAATACGCATCATTCATTATAGGAATGATTGCCAACGCGATTCCGAGAATCCATACAAGAGTTGTAAGATACACAGCACGTTTCATGGACATTCTACGAAATTTGAAAGGGAATACAATACATACAAATCGATCAAATGTTATAAGACTCAGCGTAAATACTGACACTTCGCTCGAAATTGTTGAAATCACTCCAGCAAATATACATAGATCAGAGGCTCGCCAGGATACGTCGTGTTTAAAGTACACGCCATCCCAAAGTCTGTCCTTATAAGCGATTAACAACATGTAGACGCCCATTAGAAAATCTGAAACGGCCAAATGGGTCAGGAGAAATGAGTTGACTCGGTTTTTGTCTTTTGCAATGACTCGCCATAATACAACGCCAAAATTTCCGGCGAATGCAAGCACACCAAGGACCCATATACTGTATTTGAGAACGGTGTTTTTTAGCAGTTCGTCGCAACTCGAAATGCCGTTGTCTTGAAGAGATGTGCATGAAACACTAGGCAGTACTTTCTCTGCGTAACAACACAATGTAAAGTGGTCAACTTTTCTGAAAAGAAAACGTGAAACTATATTAAAACGGAACATTGTGAGTTTCCCCCTCAGGAAGGATAGTTTACAACTAATACAACTATCCATTATAAATAAAGTTAGTTCAATTTAGGTTTCCTCCTGTAGTAATACTGGATCAATAAGAGATTACTCTTACTGGACCTCTAGGAAGATTTAGAACTGATAGAGCTATCCAGTATAAATAAAGTTAGTTTAGGTTTCCTCCTGTAGTAACACTGGATCAATAAGAGATGACGCTTACTGGACCTCTGGGAGAACAGTTTAGAACTGATAGAGCTATCCAGTATAAATAAAGTTCGCTTAGTTTAGGTTTCCTCCTAACGATACACTAATTTTTTTCATAATTTTTAATAAACTTACAATGATTTTAACGAGCTTAATTTAGCGAATAAATCCTCTGGAATATCGTCAATTACATTGCCCGATAAATCCCTAAAACAGCAAAATATACGAAATTGAGTTGAACTACTTATTATATATTTATAACTATAAGTATTTGAACGTAAAGAAGTTTATTAACATGCAAACCAGCTTACATGTCCGTCAATGAGCGAAGATTGTCAAATGCTCCAGATTCGATAACTCCGATTTTATTGTCATTCAATTTCCTGAAAGGATAAAATTGTGATTTTAACACTTTAAACATTTGCCTCAATGACTAAAATATAGCAAAATATCTATTAAAAACTTTCACTAACAATGTTTTGAGTGAAGACAGCTTTCCCAACCATTTCTTTCTAATATATCGTAGATTATTACGCTGAAGATGTCTAAAAACAATAAACAAATAAACAAATAAGCAGAAAATTCACAAGCATCATTTACTATGACTTCGTCGCTATCAGCTTTCTTCTTCATCTATTTTGTATTTTGAACGATTTTTTTCTTTGTTGGTTAATTAAAAAATTCAATTCAATTGAAACTTTCGTGTAAAAAGTTTCGTATCGTTTTACATACAGAATTTCAAGAGACGTAGTTTCATTGAAGACATTTTCTTCCATATCGGACAGTTCGTTTTCGTCTAAATACCTAGTAGACGAATACAAATAAAGACTCCGTGTTATTTGTCGCTAGTTTCAGTTGGGTACATTTACAGTTTAATGGACAACATGAGAATAAATGATAGCAATCAATCTTACTAATTCTTACAGGAACTTAAGATTTTGAAGTCCATTTAAGGTTCCATCCTTGAGAATAGTAAGCTTGTTGTACCGTAGACTCCTGCAGAAGAAACAGAACTGGAAAAAATGGGAGGTGCAAGAAAATTGAGATCAACTTTTTAAACATACATTACGGGAGAATCTTAAGGAATTATTGTATCATACTTTCTTATCTGCCATTTGAGACATGTAACATATAAGCAGTCAAGTCTATACCTTTGTTGTTGCATGCATAATGGAGTAATGTGGGGTCAAATTTTCCATTGTTTTTCCGTACTTTGGAGGGACATTTGAAAAAGGCAAATTCAGGATCCGAGAAACATCAAACACTTTTTCCAAGTCTGCATTGAATGCAGTTATGTCCATGAACGGATTGGGGCGGGTCAATACAAAATTGGTACTAACAATGTACGAAGTTTACTGAGTCTAGAAAACTGGTGTTCTTCTAATGACTGTATCCAGTTGCCACCCAAATCTCTGAAAGAATAATAGTTAATCATTATTTAATCACGGTATCTTTTCAACTGCAGATAACGTTGCTCAAAAATCTACTTCTTTGTCTTCTAATCCGCCCATATCAACATTCCCTATGGAAGAAAACCCGGGAACCCGGACCAAAATGGATCCACTATCTCAAAAGCAAAATAATGGTGGTATAGCACTTGACGTAAGTACTGCATTACTTAATTTACTTTCAATTACTAATCTATAATCTTTTCAACTTACACAATTTCAAGCGATGAGTTTTCACTGAAAATATTTGACGAGATGCTGGTTAATGTGTTCTGTGAAAGACGTCTTTAAAAAGAAGAATCACTTAATAAATTCGAATGAAAATGACTTTAAAACCGTTCGACGAACTCGCATTTTTTTCTACAACTTACATTGTTTTTAGAGACCCGAGCTTTCGAAATGCTCCACGTTCGATGACAGAGATCAAATTTTCTTTCAAAGTTCTAAACAATCAAAATAAAAAGAGAATAATACATGGGTGCGCGGAAACACCAGATTTATTTCGAGTGTTGAACATGATATCTCACGAGTGAGCTAGCGCAGCGAACGAGTGAACTATCATGTTCAACACGAGAAATAAATCTGGT